AGTGTTGAAGAAAAGTTATGCTGTGGCGCGAAAGAAATGCAACAACCTCTCAGCACAATCTTGGTCAGCTGAACTGGCCTCATTGGCCCTGCGAGCAAGGATCCAGTCTTAGACGTTGCTCTGTTCCCAGACGACACCGACTATTCTGCCAAAGAAACGACTGATGATGTGCAGAGTGAACAGTCATGTGTTTCTGTTTGGCTATAATGCTTTCTGGCAAGTCTATCTGTAGATCAAAATCAAAGTTAGTAGCCTGACAAGTTGCATGATTTCATTCATCAGACGTAAGATTCCCTGAGACTCCGACCACAAGTAAGGTAATTAATGAATTAAAGAAGCGTACCAAAATTCAAAAAAATTTGCATAAAAACGCATCATTCATTTGGCCTGGAATAGACTCAAAGACATTTGCTAGGACTGTGTGGCAGAATACAAAAGCAACGGAAAGAGTTCTTGTCTCGAAACCTATTTGATTATGCGAGTACAGAAATACTTCGAACTCGAAGGATATCATCATGAGAAAAAATAATTGTATATTACAGTCAAAAAGTGAGACTTATAACAAGGCATCCAAAGGCATTTTGAAGATGTGTGTAGAGAAAGTAGAAAATAGAGCTTATAGAAAAATGTATGATATTGATATGCAAAGTGCGCACAGACTTTAATAATCCAAATAATGTACCATATTCGTTGTAAATAACCAAAACAGGCACACAAATAACCAGTTAACTCATGGTTGTGCAAAATGATAAAGCTAGCCATAGTGACTTTCGGGAATTCTTGACTAAATGTCTGAGAAATGATAAAGCTCGAGAAATTTGCAAGAAGTTAGGAAGTTTCTAATACAACCACACCTTTATGGGCAGAAGGTCTAAACAATTTGACACAATATCCAACCTTAACTAGAATGTCACAACTCAACATTACGAATCGCATAGGTTTTTTTCGTTGTAACGAAATTGCGTCCCATAGCATAAAAAGAAAAACAATTTATGAGTTGTGTTTACCATATTTCGTTAAATGTGATGAAGGACTGTTAGTTGAATTCCAACACAATGATATGAATGGAGCTGACGTTTACATTGAAGTTCACATAACTTCTACGTACCAAAATGTGATCTCATCCAGGCTGAAGTGGACTGTAGTTTCGACCTCGTCCAGGTCCTATCACACCCCCAAATAGAGTCGAACCATAAAAATACAGCGTGTATCTCGACACGTAAGATCGGCCAGGACGGAAAGAGGAGTGATAGAATAACCGTTTTCGGAAGAAC